GGTTTTTCAAGGTCACAGAGGTGGTGGGAAGGAAAGAAAAGAGAGCGAGGAGAAAAAAAAAAAAAAAAAAAAAAAAAAGTTGACTCAGAAACCGCAGGGAATTTTTTGCCTTTTTAGAATACTGGGAAGAGAAAAAATAGCCGCAGTTATTCAAAGCATCCAGGATAATAACAGCCTGTTTACTGTTTGCATGCAAAGATGGCAGGCAGGCAGCACAGCGCAGGGAACAGGAATGAGGAATTCGCCGCGCTCGCACCGCGGGCCCGACCGCTTCTGCTGAGCCCAGCAAAGCCTGGCTGGGGATCCTGGCTGTGAGGGCAGGAGCTGGGCAGCCCCACCGTGACACCTGGGCAGTCCCCACCTCCCAAGGGTCCTGGAGGAAGGGTTTCAGGTGGCCCTGGGGCTGAGGATGATGGGGAGGGAGCTCCCGAGCTGGAATATGCTCCAAGGCTGAGTGGATGGAGCATCCCAGAGGGTGTCATGGCCAACCCCTAAATAATGATCCCCCATCCTACTATCCCATCCCATCCCATCCCATCCCATCCCATTCCATCCCATCCCATCCCATCCCATCCCATCCCATCCCTGCCACAGAGCCACCTCTGATGCTCAGCAGGCATCTCCAGCCACCCCCTGGCAGGGTCACGGGAAGCCAGGGGGACAGGGGTGCAAGGACTGAGGACACAGGGATACAGAGATCAAAGACAGAGGGGTGCAGGGTCAGGGGAATGCAGAAATCAAGACATGCTGAGGTTCTGAAGGGAGGTGACACCTCAGGGTGGCTCATTCTGCAATGGAATGCAAATCCCGATGAAAGGAATTCGGGAAGGGAGCGTTGACCCTCTGGCAGAAGAAAGCCTGGGGGGCACCCACCTACAAGCTCTGGACACAGAGAGGAGCCTGGAAGCCTGGGGGACCTCCGGGAAAGGGGTGGGATGAGAGAGGGAGGGAGGGGGAAGGGAAGGGTTCAGCAGGACCAGCGGGGAGAGCTTCATTCCTGCCGGTGCCACGAGCAAGCTGGGACTTGAGGCGAGAGAAAGCACCCGGTCTGCCTGACTGGTTTGCTGAGAAGAGGCTGCAGGGCTGGCCCACAGCCTTGGCAGACTTCCCCCACCAGGATCAGGATTATTTGGAAGAGGGGGTGAAATTCCCTTTCTCCCAAATTCTGGTGGGGATTTTTTTGTTTTTAAACAGTTTTCCATATGGAGAGTGCGATGAGCTTGTCTTTCCCCATTCAGCTCTAGCATTCAGCAAGTGGAAAAGGAATGGGGATGCATGAGATGAGGGGGAGGAACCAGGGCCCACAAAGGACATGCCAAAATTCAAGGATGCTCCAAGGACAAGTTCCAATGTTCTCCAAAATGAGGAAAAGCAGGAGGCACAGCTGCAGAGAGGCTGCTGTGGTGTGGCACCAAGGCAATGAGGTGTTCCTGCCTGGGAATGGGGCTTGGTGGACAGCCAGGGAGCCCCAAGGAAATCCTTGGCCTTGTCCCAGCCCACTGTGACCACAGAGGGACCAGAACTCCCCAGAGAGCCCTGGAGCATCAGAGCCATCTCCCTGTCACCCACAAGAGCTGCTGCCCCGGGATAGGGCATCCCTCCCAAAGCCACCAAAGTGACACCGGTGGCACTTGGAGCAGAGCCTGCTGGCCCTTCCCCATCTCTCCAGGGATGTAGATGTGCATGGCAGGAGGAGTCTCATGCAGGTGCCAGCCCAGCCAGCAGCTCTGCTGGCACCACCAGCACCCCCTGCCAGGGCATGGGAGCCCTGTGTCCTAGACAGGATACAGGAAAGCAGGGATACAGGGATGGAGAGATGAAGGACATGGAGACAGAAGGACTCAGGGCTGCAGGAACACAAAGATGCAAGAATCAAGGACACAGAGATCACAGGGATGGGAACGGGAGGTTTGGCTCCCACCTGGTGTTTCAGCTGTGCCATGGTGACAGGGACATGGGACAAAGGACAGACATGGGATAAAGGACAGACATGGGATAAAGGACAGTGGGTCCAGGCAATGCTGATGGTGAAATCCAGGGAGACATTGTGGGAAGAGCAGACAGAAGTGCCTGTGGGGACAGAGCAGGTGATAACCCACCCCCACAGCAGCTTCCATGGGATGTTGCTCTGGCTGAACAGCACCCCTAACAAAGCACACAGCTCCTCGAAAAGTGTGGCAGGAGGAGCTGGGACCTCCTGCTCTACCTGCTGGATTTAGGAATCCTCTCCCTACAGCCCAATTCCTGTACCCACAGGTGGGCTTTGTACTTTTATCTGACTGCCAGAGACTGAGAGCCCTGGGGGTGAGGATCAATGGGCAAAGCTCTCAACAGGAGCCCATTCCCTGAATCCCTGGTCTCAGAAAGCTCCCTGCAAATAGCCAGACCTGCAGCCAGGCCACTCTGCATCCGGATTTGGGTAAATAAAGCATGGGGTGTGAGAGCTGTGGTATGCCAGGAATGCTGCCGGCCTTCCCGGGCTCTGGAGCGGCGGGAGCTGGGGGAGGCAGGGCAGGTACGGCCCTGGCTGGAGGCCACCAGGGTCCCCCAGACATATTCCCGACCTCAGCAGTTCCCTGTGAGCTTCCCACCCTGTTCTTCCCATCCCTGGCCCCGTTTCAGGGTCCTTTTCAGCCTTCAGCTTGGGCAGAGTTGATTTCCCTGCTCACAACACACAGGAGAAGCCATTGGTGCATAGGAGGATCCCAGCTCCAAGCTTCACATTGCTCCAAGTCTCCCTAACCTGCTCCTCAGGGATGGAGACCTGTCCCACAGCCACAGAAAGACCCACATTTTCATTTTTTAGCCATACTTCTCCCAGATTCCTGAGTGGGAAGGTTGGGGCTCAGCTGGGATTCAGCATCACTGTCCCACCAAAACCAGTGATCCTCACTGCAGTCCTAAGGAATCCTGCCCAGGAAAAGGATGGAATCACCATCCTTGGAAGTGTTGAAAAACACGTAGATGTGGTACTTGGGGACATGGTTTAGTGGTGGCTTTGGCAGTGCTGGGTTAACAGTTGGTCTTGATAATCTTGAAGTGCTTTTCCAACCTAAATGATTCCATGGTTCCATGGAAGAGCTGGCAGCAAAACTGATTTCTGATGCTGTTGCTCCACATAATCCAAGCTAAACCCCATTGCAAAGCACAAGAGCTCCTGGTCCCCAGGGACAGCAGGATAACAAAGATGAGCTCCCACTTAATACCAAGGGGTGGCACAAAGGGAAAGCCTTGGCCTGGCTGGAGATGGCAGAGTCCCCAGGGATGTTCCCTGGGAAGCATTAACACCACAGTTATCAGAATATAGAAGTCCAACCCCTGGAAAACTTCTGGTCTTCTGGAAGACCAAGGAGCCAGGCAGAGTGGGAAGGGCTTAAAAATGGCTGACAAAGCCAAGGAGAGCTTGGAGACCAGGTCCATCCATGCTGGAAGAGATGAGGGACTCTTTTAAACAGTTTTCCATGTGGCAAGAGCTTAGGAGGGCAGGAAGAGGTTTTGTGACAAAGAGGAGGATCCCATCAGATGCAGTTATGGGATGCAGAGATCAAGGACAGCAAGGTGCAAGGACTGAGGACACAGGGATGCAAGGCCATGAGGATGCAGAAACCAAGGACACAGGGATGCAGGAATGCCAGGGCAGGAAGGAAACCACATCAACACTTTTAGGTAACTCCATTCTTTTCCCCCATGAAGGTGAGGGGAATGGGATCCCAATGGGATTTTGGGGAATGCAGAAATCCTCCTGAGCATTTTCCCCCTCTCCCATGCAGTTGCACCCCAAATCTCTCTGCCCTGGGGAGCTGGGAAGGACATGTGAACCAGGGGGTCAGCACTCCCAGACCCTCTTCCCCTGGTGGCTCCTCCATCTCTCTGCATTGCATGGAAAAAAAAATGAAGTCCAAGGATCAATATTTGGGTTTTTTTATTAAAATATTGTTATACCAAGTGGAATGCTACAGCAATCTCGGTATAGGGTGGCATAACGAAACAGCCAGGTTTATGTTTAAATACTTAAAGATAACTTAAAACGCACAAACGAGAACTTGTCGTCTTTGGCAGGAAAAAAAGTTCACAGCACGAAAAAAAATACTTATAAAGAAATACCAATATTAATATAAAATATATTAAGTCACGGGGTTTGGGGTTTTTTTTCCTCTTTCATAATTTTTTGTTTCTTTTCCATTTTGTAAACAATGCACGAGAACCGAACGCATTTTTTACGTGTCTGGGGAGAGAAAAATAAAAAATGCAGTTGGCCAGCAAATGCACATGTTGAAAGGGGAAAGAAATAAAGAAAAATATATATATATTTACATGAAGGGCGAGGATGGGAAGCTCCAAGGAGCAGGATGTTGGTGCTGGCTACGGGCAGAAGCCAGCTGCCAGTAGCCAGGGGACACAGCCAGGAGAAGAGTGACACATCCTGCTGCCTCCATCCTCAGAGCCTTTCACCTCCACTTTTCCTCCACCCTTCATCCCCTCCATTGTCATTTGTGTTTCACTGTAACCCCATCACAAAGCCTGTGACAGGCAGGATGCAGGTGATGGGAGTTTGGTGCTCCCAGTGCTTGGCTTGGCCACGTGGATCCGGGCGGTCAATGGGACGCACAGAGGATCCCTCCCAGCTCTGCCCTCGTGCAGAGTTCAGCTTGTGGGTACAGTTCAGGCCACCAGAGAGGGATTTTGCTGTTGGAAGCCAAGCACCTGGGTGGGTGCAGATGTCCAAGACCCAGAAGTGGGAGCTGGGATGGAGATGAAGTTGGGATGGAGCCAGGATGGGGATGGAGCCACTGCGGGGTCCCCGGGCTCCAGCGCGCCCTGCGCAGCCAGGGACCTGTGTGGGCACTGAGGGGACAGTGACCCTGCCACATCCTGGAGTCACTGCCGAGACCGAGGGGACACTGCTGAGCTCCCGGCTCGGCCTCTCCTTCCCAGACACTTCTCCATCCCAACATGCTGGCAGGAGGGGTGGAGAGGCCACCGTGCAGCCCTGGGTGGCCTTAAATCAGGATCTCCACCATGTCAGACAGGTCCAGGGCTCTGGCAGCAGCCGAGCTCTCTGCAGAGAAAGAAAGGATTTACAGGGATTCGTAGGGATTCAAACCCACCCAGCCCAACTGGGGCCTCAAAAATGCCTTTAAAAATTGCTGATCTTGTGCAAAGCCCATCCCAGGGATGGTAAACCCACGTGCTGGGCCATCCCTACTCCCTGCCCCGTGCCATCTGGGGGGACTCACCCAGCCCTGTGGTGCCCTCGCCCTGTTCGCTGCTTCCGGCCGCTCCGTCTGTCTGCGTGCTGCCATCCTTGCTGCCGTGCTTGGAGTGGGATGGCAAGGGAAGGGCAGTGGACACTGCTGTCCCTTCAGTGGTGGCTTTGCCTGCTGGAGGAGACTCTGTTAGGGATTCAAGGTAAAGGATTCAAGTTTTTAAGGCCAGATTAGACAAGGCTTGAAGCAACCTGGTCTAGTAGAAGGTGTCCCTGCCCATAGGAGAGGGTGGAACAAGATGAGCTTAAAGGTCCCTTCCAACCCAATCCATTCTGAAATTCTCTGATTGCTGGCTGATCCTGGAGGAATCAACCCTCCCCAAGCTCTCCAACTTCAAAACCACAGGAGAAAATTGCAAGCAGGTCCCCAGTGCCAAGTGAAGGTAGGGAGCAGGCAGGTGTCCCTCTTTACCTGTGCTGCCACGGGAGCTGCCCTCGGATGACCGGTCACTCTGGCCAGCCCCTGGCCAGCTCGGGGCGGCGGAGGCAGCGAAGATGGAGGGCACGGATTTGGCCGGCCGCAGGGAGCCCTGAAGGGCTTTGCTGGGGTCCCTCCGTGAGCGCTGCTGCAGGACCTTGATGACAGCATCCTTCTCCAGGATTTGGGCATGAAGGGCTTTCAACCTGGAGAGCAGGAAAGGCAGAAGCTGCAAGAGGAGCTGGATGGGAAGAGGAGGATCCAGGCACTGCCCAACCAAAAAGTTTGATGCCAAATGCCTCTGGCAAGGTGGGACTAACCTGTTCTCCATCTCCTGGTGCTTGTGGCTGGCCAGGAGCAGGTCCTCATTGAAGCTGCTGTTGGGGGAGTGCCGTGGCGAGTGGCTGATGAGGGTGGTGTCGCGCTGGGCGGCCGCCGTGGCCGCGGCGTCCATGGCGAACTGGCGCATGGTGCACTCCTCCAGGTACTTCTGCTCCCACTTGGTCATGTCGGCCTCCAGCGCCAGGATCTTCTCCTCCCTCTCCCTCAGCTGCTCCGACAGCGTGTGGGCGCTCAGCTCCGGCGTCCCCCCGCTGGTGGTGCCCGCCTGCCTCTGCAGCAGCCAAAACAAAGCCCCAGTGAGGATGAGGAGGTGCTGGGAGCATGCAGAACCCGCCGTGCCTGGCTGGAGCTGCCGTGTGTCACAGACATTTTTTATGAAAAGTCTTTTTTTTAAGCTTTTTCCTCTTGAGAAGATGAGAGGCTTCAAGAACAGAATGTAAATAATGGTTATCTGCTGCTGTGGAATGCAACAGGTGCATCTGGGATTGGTCTCATGTGGTTGTTTCTAATTAATGGCCAGTCACAGTCCAGCTGGCTTGGATGGAGAGTCCAAGCCACAGACTTTTGTTATCATTCTTTCTTTTGCTATTCTTAGCCAGCCTTCTGATAAAATCCTTTCTTCTATTCTTTTAGTATAGTTTTAATATAATATATATCATAAAATAATAAATCAAACCTTCTGAAACATGGAGTCAGATCCTCTCTAATCTAACCCTCATCCTAATACCCCTGTGAACAGCATCAGAGCCGTGCCTCGCCAGCACCCACCTGCTGAGCCCGCAGCATCTTCAGCTCCTGCTCCAGGCGGGTGCGGAGCCGCAGCTCCAGCTGCTCCCGCTTCTCGCAGGCGGCCTGGAGCTGCCCCAGGGCTGCCTGCAGCCGCTCCACCTTCTCCACGTAGGCTCGTTTCTTCCGCAGCTCGGCCTCTGCCTTGGCCGCCCGTGCCTGGGCGCTGCCCAGGGCCTGCTCCAGCAGCTCTGCCCGCCGCCGCTGGTCCTCGTTGGCGCTGCGCAGCAGGGACACCTCCCGCTCCAGCTTCTCCTTCTCCTGCTGGTGCTCGTAGCCTGCAAGGGAACCCCACAAATCTCAGACATTCAGCTTCCCTAAGGCTGTGAAGCCCAGTGGGGATTCTTTGCTTCCCAACATCTGGCCATGCCACCCCTTCCTCCAGATCTTCTGTCAAACGAGGGGCAGGGGCATTCCAGATGGCCAAAAGCATCCACTGCCAGCCTAATTCCAGCCTAAATTTTAGCTCAGGAAGGGTGAGACCTGCCTGGTGTGAATCCAGCCACCTTAGGGAAGGGCATGCAATTCTTTCTACTAACACCAACATCCTGTCTCTCTGCTAAAATTTAAGCGCATTTTCCCCCAAAAATGCCCAGGCTTGCATGGCTGCGAAGTGCAGGAGGGAGGAGGGAGAGAACGGCCGGGCTGGCGTGGGGCGGGAGTGCGGGCTTGGTGCTGGAAGAGCCGGAGCTGCGGCAGGAATGTGGGGAATGCGGGTCACGCCGCCGGCCGGCCGCCGGGATTAATGGCTCGAGTCCAGCGCCAAGAACTGCTCCATCCTCCCTGGGGAAGGGCGAGAGCTGCCGCCCGACACCCGCCGCCTCCTCCAGCCGAGCCCTGCTCGCAGACGCCCGGGGAGCCGGGCAGGGATGGGTGTCCATCCCCCGGGACTTACTCTGTGCCAGGAGTTTGGCCACGCTGGCCTGGTTGCTCTCCTGGTTTTCCTGGTTCTTGCTAGCCAGCTGCTTGTTCGCCGATTCCAACCTCTCTGGTTCAAAACAAAAAAAAAAAACCCAATTAAGATTTAAATGCAAGGTGTTGGCTGGAGGAAAGGGGAAATGCCTGGTTTCCCATGGAAACAGCTGGGGGACACAGAGCACCCACAGGGAGGGGGACACAGAGGGTCCCTCACCTTTCAGGTCTCGGTTGAAATCCTGCAGCCGTCGCATCTCACAGTCTCTCTTGTTCCTCATGGCTTTCTCCAAGGCTTCCCGCTTGGAAGACGCCTTGACGAGGTTTTCGTAATCCTCCGAGATGCGCTGGATCTCGTTCTCCAGCTGGGGTGGAGGAAGGGACAAGCCAGGGTTAGATATTCATGGAATGAGGAAAGGCACATGCCAGCCAAAGCCCAGCCAGGCTGCTCAGCCCAACCTGAGCTGCCAGAGGAGCTCAGTGCACCCCAAGTGCACTGTTTTGGGGGGGGAAACTGATGTTTTTTTGGTCTTTTCTCTTATGGAAGAGTTTCTCCACAGATTTTGGCTCTGCCACAGCCCAGCCACGGGGAACAGCCGCCCCTTGTAGACGGCCACACAAAGGGCTTTCTGTGGCGGCTGGGATGGGGGGACAGGCAGAGGGAGAGGGTCACTGGAGAATGGGCTCCTTCTCCCCAGCCCCGGCTGCCGTGCTGCAGCTGCTCCGAGGGGAGCAAGCCGCCAGAGGGAGGAGGAGAAAGGATTAAATCACTAAAGGGGGTGAATTTTCACAGCAGCTGGTCTAGCATCGCCCCGGGCAGGAAGGGACACGGGAAGTTGCCATCATTCCCTCACCTTCTGGATGCGGCTCGCCTTCTCGGCACAGCTCTCCAGCTCCCGCCGCAGCTTCTCGCTCTCCCGCTGCAGCCTCTCGTTCTCCCGCAGGACGGCGTCTGCCCGGGCCAGGCGGCTGCCGGCCGACACCGCCTGGGCGCTGACCAGCGCCTCCACGCCCGCCGGACCCAGCGCGCCCGGGCACAGCGGCAGGAAGGCGGCTGGCACCGAGGTGGGCAGCACCCTGCAGAGAGCGAGGAGGGGGTGTCAAGGTTTGGCAGGGTGGGAGAGCTGGCTGCAGCTCCAGCATCCCATCAAGCACGTGCTGGTGCCTCCCAGTCACCTCGAAGGAGGTGGAAGTGCCTATCCTGCTTTTTAGAACTGGGAAGCGCTCGCTCTCTAGCCACAAATCCCATCTTGCAGGGATGCCTTGACCTGACCCCTCCAGGACCTGGCCAGTGGGTCTGGATGGGCTCCCAAACCCCCAGGTCCCTCTCTTGCTGGGAATGCTGCAGGCAGCCTGGCATAGGATCCACCTTGGAAGCCAGAATTTTCCTTATTTTCTGTGCAAAGCAAAGGCTCCTGACACAGGCCCTCACTGCCAAACTGTGGATGTGTCCTTTTTATACTGGGAGGAGCCAGGCCAGCCTGGCTGCCCCTTGTGCCACTGCTCCAGCATCCCACCTCACCATCCCTCCTGCAATGCCCGGAGCAGGGTGGCTGAGCACGGCCCGGCCCTGCCGCGCTCCCCCGCGGGCTGCCCGCCAAGGGCTGCATTCCTGCGGGATGATATAGGAGCAAGGAGGAATAAATACATCTTCCTCGCAGCTCCCCTTCCCCTCTTTGTTCCCTGGAAGGAGAAGGTTTTCCTGCTGGAGATGCTATCGCTCTCTGCCTGGATAGATCAGCAGGGCTGGGAGCAGTGTGTCCTCACATTGAGCCACCAGTTCCCTTCTTCCCATCATTTTCCACACTGGAAGAGGTTGTTTCCAGGCCTCCTCAAATTCCAGGCAATGCCTGGACCCCCAGATGTCCATCTCACAGTCACCCTGGGGCTTTGCCACAGGCACTGAGCTGCCAGAGGGACTACAGACCACCTGGCACCAGCCCAGGCTCTGCTCAGCAGCAATTCCAAGTATTATGGACATTCCCAGCTCAGGACCATGGCATGGCTTTCCGTGGAGCAGGGAGCATATTTGTCTTCCACCCTGCCCCGTACCTATTCCACATTTAGCTGTTTCCTGGGCTGCTTCCAGCTCCTGGATTATTCCCTATGTTACCCCCAGCTCCCTCCTGGTGCGTGGGGAGGAGGCATCCCCATTGCTGTGGGAATGGGATTTTCTTCACTGGTTGGAAAAGCCCAGCCACACTGGGGGAGCTGGGGACAGGAGCAGAGTGGGGGGCTCTCAGCAGACCCCCACAGCCTGGGCCAGTGAGGACAAAAGCAGCTGCTCTGGGCCCCCGCTGCCCTTCCAAGCATCCATCCTGAACATTCCTGAGAGGCATCCAAAAGCAGAGCCCAGGGGCCACAGCTTTACCTGATCTCAGGATGCTGAAATCCAGGACCTTCCCGGGAGCAGGCTCGGGGCTCAGCCAGGTAAGCATCCTGGGAAGGGATGACATAGGGATACTCCGGGGGCGGTCCCCGCGGCTCTGTGCCCTCGGGCTGCTGCCCGCGCAGGGGGACGAGCTGCCGGGAGAGCTGCGGGAAGCTGTGGGAAGCGCTGATGGGGCTCTGCGCCTTGGCCCCGTTCCTCTCCAGCGACATCCGCATGAGCCGCTCGCTCAGTGACCGCACGTGGCCGTGCTTCAGCTCCTTGAGCCCCTCGTCGGGGCGCCGGGCGCCGCTCTCGGCCCGGATTCCCGCTCCCCGCTGCGATGCCAGCAGCTGGGAATGAGCCTTGGCCTCCTCGTAGGTGGGCAGCTCCTCGCCCTTGGGCGGGCACAGCCGGTAGACGCTGTTCTCTAGGTAGACGTGGTCGGAGTGATGCTCCTGGCCCTGCGGCTCCTGCCGCGTGGATTGCTGCACCATCTGGCTCTCCTCCGGGCTCAGGCTCTCCAGGGAGGAGCGGGGGCTGCCGCCGCCGCCGCCGCCGCGCAGGGCCTGCTGCTGGATGGCCAGCAGAGTGCGGTTCTCCGTGAGATTCCCATAGCGCAGCTGCTCCTGGATCAGCCGGTGCAGCACCGTGCCGTTCGAGTCCTCCGCCGTCCTCATGTCCGTCCGTGCCGGCGGCAGAGCCACGTTTCCACCCGAGAAGGGGAGTCCCGGGGGACCTCAACAGCGACTGGACACGCCGAGACACCTGCGGGAGGGAGAAACGGGATTGTTGGGAAGCAGCCGGGGCAGGACGGTCCGGATCCTGGTGGACACGGGATTGTTTGCCAGGAATTTGGCCCGGACGTGCCGGAGGGGTGGGAGCCCGTGGCGGCGGGGGGAGAGAGGAGCAGCCACCGCAGTGGGGTGGCCGAGCACCGGCACCGCACCTGGGGCTGGCTCCGGGGCTGGTCCCCCATGGAGCCGGGACTGGCACTGGCCCGGGATAAAGCGGGGATAAAGCGGCCCCACGGGACCGGGCACAGAGCCACCGGGAGATGGATAGGACCCCCCATCCCCGGACCCGGGGATCCTGGATTGTGTCCAGAAGTGTCCCAGTCCCGGTGAGGGTCCTGGGATTTTTCCGTGGGGGAAGGAGGATATTCCGGTCCCCTTTGGAGGGGGGGGGCGGGCGAGTCCCGGTCCCAGCGAAAAGAGTCCCGGTTCTGGGGCCGTCCTTTTCCCATGGAGGGATCCCAGTCCCGGCTGGGGCCTTCCTTGGGCCAGGGGGGTTCGATCCCGGTCAAAGAGTCCCAGCCTCAGGGGGGTGCCCCAGTCCCGGCCGGGACGATCTCAGTCCAAGGGGGTCTCGGTCCCGGTATTGCTGGTCCGGGTGGGTCCCGGTGCCGAGGGAGGTCCCGATCCCTGCTGGGAATTCCCAGTGCCGGGGGAGCGTCCTTTCCCCGAGGGGCATCCCCGTGCCGGGGGGGTCCCTGTGCCGGTCGGGGGTCCCGATCCCGGTCGGGGGCGTCCCAGTGCTGGAGGGGTTCCCTGTGCCGAGGGGGAGGGGGTGCCAGTCCCGGGGAATTCCCGGTGCTGGGGGGTCCCGATGCCGCTCGGGGGGTCCCGGTGCCGGTCAGGGGGGTCCCGGTGCCGGGGAATTCCCGGTGCCGGGGGTCCCCGGTGCCGGTCGGGGGTCCCGGCGGCGGAACTCACCGGGGCATGGCGGAGCGGAGCGGTGCTGCGGCGGCTCTGAGCGTCCCGGGGCCGCGGGGGCCGGGCCGGGCTTTGCTATGCCCGGAATGCGGGGCCGGTCCCGCCCCGCTCCGCCCCGGGGCCGCCGCCGGCGCAGGAGCGCGGCCGGGAGCGGGAGCGGCAGCTGCGGCCGGGGGGGCGGCTCTGCCCGCCAGCTGTCCCGGGCCGTAAATCTGCCCCAGCCTTTGTCTGTGGGGCCGGGGCACCCCGAGCCTGCCGGCCCCATCTGCTCTGCCCCCTCGGGCCCCCCCTTCTCGCATCCCCCCTCCTTACATTCCCCCTCTTCGCATCCCCCCGCCTCGCATCCTGCGTCCTCGCATCCCCCCTCCTCTCATCCCCCTTCCTCGTGTCCCTCTCCTTACACCCTCCTTCTCACATCCCCCCCTTCACATCCCCCACCTCACACCCCTGTCTTCTCATTCCTCACCTCACATTCCTCATCGTGTCTTCCTTACATCCCCCTCCTCACATCCCCCTCCTTATGCCCCCCTCTTTGTATTTCACATCCCCCATCTCGCATCCCCCCTCCTCACCTTCCCCCTCCTTGCATCCTCTCTTCACATCCCTCTCGTTGCATTCCTCCCTCCTTGTGTCCTCCATCCTCACACCCCCCTGGCCGGGGATGCCAGCTCCCTGTGGATGCAGCAATTCCTGCCAGCTCGTGTCTGCCTCGGCACCTTTGCGTGTCCCCTGCTGCTCTCCCAGCCTCAGTTTCTCCTTTTGGGCTCTTCCACCCCCTTCCCTGGGGGGACACAGGGATGGAGGAAACCATCAGGGGCTGAACTCCCCCTTCAAAGCACCCTGGCTCATCTCTGGGGGGACACTGAGCACCCCCAGCCCCAAAGCAGTGGAGCACCAGCCCCATCCCAGCCCCAGGCTGCTGGTGCAGAGTCCAGAGGCCCCGAGAGAGACGGCAGATGGCCGGAGGGGAGGCGGCGGGGAGAGGCAGGTGCAGGGGAAAATTGCTTATTAGCTCCGGGACATTAAGCTCCCATTCTTTTGAGGGAACTCAAAAGCATCTTCTGACTGGCACAGAGCCGGGAGGCTGATCTGAGAGGGGGACATGGGGATCTCCAGCCTCCTCTCCTTGTTTTTCTGCTCCATCACACGCTGGTATCATCCCCAAGGCACCCAGGGTGCAATAGCAGGCACAGGGCTGCAGGCGCAGCTCACTACCTCTGGGTTGTCTCCCCAAAAATGGGGGGAAAATGAATCTCCAATGTGTAGCAGGTACCAGACTCAAAGGCAGAGGAGCATGGAAAGAAAATGCAGAGAGATGGAGTCAGTGCTTGGAGGAAGAGGAGCACCTGGAAGCTTAAGAAACAGCCCCGTTTTCCCAGTGACAAGTCAAATCCTCATGGATGAAGGTTGAAACGTTGGAATTGGCACCCTGAAGGTCGAGTGAGGGTCTAGTTTGGTGTGGGGAGGAGACGAGAGCACAGAACTTGTCTCTGTGACCCCGGGTACATACAGAGCCTGGAAACGTGGGCCCAGGCCCAACACCTTGGGATGGATGGATGGATGGATGGATGGACGGACAGGTTGGACAGGACTTGGAGAAACGTGGTCTAGTGGAAGATATCCCTGCCCCAGGCAGAGGGTGAAACAAGATGAGTTTAAGGTCCTTTTTAGCCTAAACCAGTCTGTGATTCTGTGATTCTATCAGTAAACAGATGGATGGATGGATGGGTGGATGATGGATGGATGGATGATGGATGGATGGATGGGTGGATGGATGAGGGATGAGGGATGGATGGATGGATGGATGGATGGATGGATGATGGATGGATGGATGGATGGATGATGGATGGATGGATGGATGGATGATGGATGGATGAATGATGGATGGATGATGGATGGATGGATGGGTGGATGGATGGATGGATGGATGGATGATGGATGGATGGATGATGGATGGATGGATGGATGGATGGATGGGTGGATGGATGGATGGATGATGGATGGATGGATGGATGGATGGATGGATGGATGGATGATGGATGGATGGATGGATGGGTGGATGGATGGATGGATGATGGATGGATCCATGGATGGATCCATGGATGGATGGATGGATGGATGATGGATGGATGATGGATGGATGGATGGATGGATGGATGGATGGATGATGGATGGATGATGGATGGATGGATGGATGGATGGATGGATGGATGGATGGATGATGGATGAATGGATCCATGGATGGATGGATGAGGGATGAGGGATGGATGGATGGATGGATGGGTGGATGGATGATGGATGGATGATGGATGGATGATGGATGATGGATGGATGGATGGATGGATGGATGGATGGATGGATGATGGATGAATGGATCCATGGATGGATGGATGGATGGATGATGGATGGATGGATGATGGATGGATGGATGATGGATGGATGATGGATGGATGGATGGATGGATGGATGATGGATGGATGGATGGATGGATGGATGGATGATGGATGGATGGATGGATAGATGGATGGATGGATGGATGGATGATGGATGGATGGATGATGGATGGATGGATGATGGATGGATGGATGGATCCATGGGTGGATGGATGGATGGATGGATGGATGGATGGATGGATGGATGATGGATGAATGGATCCATGGATGGATGGGTGATGGATGGATGATGGATGAATGGATCCATGGATGGATGGATGGATGATGGATGATGGATGGATGGATGGATGGATGGATGGATGCATGGATGGATGCATGGATGGATGATGCACCACTCCAATACACCAAGCCCAGCAGCAGCATCTCCAAAAGGGCCCAGCAGTGGCTCTGCCCTGCTCTTTCCCAGGTGGATGGGGCTCCCAGCCCAGCTCCCCCAGCAGCCAGGGTTCCTCTCCTGGCTCGTCCCCTGGCCTTATCTATGTCTGTGTCATCCTGCTTCCCTTCCTATCTTAACACTGCTCTATTTCTGGCAGCAGGAAACCCCTCCTGGGCTGATAACACCCCTTTGGAAAGTGATCTGAAGAGTTTCCTCTCCTTCTTTCTAGAACTGGAGGTAAGAAAAGCCTCAACCTTTTTGTTTTCCCCGGGAGAAGGTGAAACAGCAGCTGGCCCTGGGGGCAGTGGTGGGGGCACCTTTGGCTGCCTGCAGGGACCCTGTTCCCAGGTGGAGCATCCTGGAGGATGGGGCAGGGCCTCGGGGACGTGGCTGGAGGCAGGGCAGCACAGGTGCCGTGTCCCAGGCTGGGCGGGGTGACACACGGCTCCGCAATGCCAGACCCTCCCACTGACCTCAGCCCAGCCTTATCGCCGAGGCGTTGGAGCCGGGAGAGGGAGCCAAGAAAATACTCGTGGGATGAGATCACCTCGGCTGTCTTCAGGCTCCCAAAATGCCTCAGCCCTCGGCCGTGCTGAGCCTGGAAAAGTGGGGCATTGTGGGCAGAGGAAGGTGCCTGGGATGGAGGGGAGGTTTGCAGCCTCAGCACATCTCCTGGGGAGATGGTGACAGTGGTGACAGCGTCCTGTGACCACTGAGCCTCAGTGACAGTGTCCCATGGCCACGCTGAACCCCTCAAACCTCTCCATGGCAATCTTCCTGCTAAAGCTTCCTCCAGGTACCTGCTTCTTCTCTCCCAAACTCTGGATTCAGAGTGCAGCCAGGAGCTGGAGTTCAAGGAATTGCACAGGTGATGTTTCCCAGTGCCAGGATTCCCCAAGCTGCTCCCAAAGGGAATTTCATCCCCATGGGCAGGGGAGCCAAGGCAGCAGCCCTGCCCCTCCCCTGCTCCCACCCTCCCATCCAGAGGGATTCTGTCCTCCTGGAGAGATCCCCACAAGCTGCCAGGCCTGAGGCAGCTTCCCTGTCCTCTCTCTGAAATCTGCATCATTTTGGGGTGTCCCAGGTCTGATTCCCCTGGGAATGTGTGACCTGGGGTGCTGCTGTGCAACAGGGTG